CTTATCTGGTTATGTCCAGTACGATTTTGGCATATCTGGTTATGTCCGGTATGATTTTGGTGTATCTGGTTATGTCCGGTATGATTTTGGCGTATCTGGTTATGCCCAGTATAATCACCCGGGAGACTGTTTCAGCAGAGTCTAGCCAGGGTAAGGGGACAAAGTCTTCCACTTGCTGCTCCTAGGCCCATGACCTTTGCCCCTGAAACACCTGCCACACTCTGACCTACTGAACTGTAAGATAATGTTTATTGTTTCATGCTGCCATGTTGGTGGTTATTTGCTGCAGGAACAATAGGAAACCAATGTGGTCCCCATGGGTGGGTGCAGGGGCTTCAAAGACAGGGAGCTCCTACCCGGTAAGTGCCCAGACCCTGGGACGGTGAGCAGAGCTCCACTCTGTCTTCCTTCTCCGTGTGCCCGTGACACTGAGTCACGAAGCACCGTGGTAAGAAGCGATAGTTGGGTGAAGTCTGCTTGAGTGTGCCCTCTGCACCTTGGTCCCAGGTCCTTCCACCCTGCCTCCCTGCCCCACCCCTGTGATGGGCCTGGGATCCAAACACCTGAGACTTCACATATACTTAGAAATAGGTTAGCCAGGCGGGGGATGCAGCCACAGCCCAGCTGCCAGTGGCAGCCTTTCTCACGCACTTTCCCCATTAGGATGGACTGAAATTCCCTCAACCGGGAGCCAGACTCTGCCAGATAGTTTGGTTATAGTGACATAAAAGTGACTAACACAGATCTTTGGAACCATCCGGAGAAGTCTCTCACCCAGAATCGTTAGCACCCTTGCCCTGGCCTGTGAGATGAGACAAAACCGTGAGCTCAAACACAAAGTAAGCAAGGAAGAGAGAGTCTGGGCTTGGCATGGGTTCCAAGTGGAAGGGCGCAACGCTCATTCCCATGTCTTCTGTGTCTGTTGTTCCAGACCCCAGGAGAAAACACTCCCAAAACCAGCAACACCTCACCTTTTCAAAGTGCGTGCTCTAGTGTTGAGGGGACAGACTTGGAGTGCCGCTGGTGGGACAGGCCTACACATCAAATGAACTCCCTCCTTCCTCAGGAGGGCCCGATTAAGAGTGCACACACCTTCGATCCCAGCACTGGGAGGCAGAGGTGAGCCCAGCCTGAAACAATGACAAAGAAACCCAGGCATCTAGTCCTAAAGTCTATGCTTTCTGACCACCCTGGTGTGAGGGACTCAGGTGGGAACTGCACTTTGGGGCAGGTTTGCAAGTTGACATGTTCCTGGTGGTCACTGTGCTGAGGCTGTGACTGAGCAGACCAGGAGGAGGCTTGCTGGAGAGGGAAGGGCAGAACTAGGTCCCAAGGACAGTGTGCTAAGCGTTTCCCAGGGGCAAACCGGGCTGGAGTGGAGAGGATGAAGTTCAAGGATGGGCCCTCCAGGCCGTGAAGAGGGCTGTTTGGTAAAGTGGCTTATGATATGTGGATTAATCTCTGGCACTTCCTGGTGGAGTTCACAGTCCTGAGACTCATTTTCTTCAGTGACTATAACAAGATAAGGATTTCCAAGGCGGCCCTAGTGGAGACACAGCTGTGCTCGGTGACCTTTCGTACGCCTAGTCTGAAAACTCCCTCTTGCCCAGAGATTATCTTTTTGTTGCTGGTTTTTGTTTTGTTTTGTTTTTTGAGTTTCTGGACATCAGACTCAGGGCTTTGGGCCCACTAGGCAGATGCTGTACCATGAGCTCCATCCTCCAGTCCTAACAAGTGTATAAAGCGAGGAGCAGCCTGCTCTCAGCTGTGGGTGAGGCGTACGCTTTGTTGTAGATATGAGAGAGAATACAGCTAGAGACGTCTGGAGGAGTCCAGAGCAGGGAGAGAAAGCAGTAAACATGGCCAGCAGATTAGACCAGGCTATGAGAAGAGCAAGAAAGGGGGGAGAGGGAGAAGGGGAGATGGCAGAGGGGCCCAGAAAGCGCATGGGTGAAATGGCAGGTTATATAGAAATAAGGAGCTGGGGAAAGGGAAGCCCACCAGCGGGCTGGGTAGGGGTGGAGTGAGAAGAGCTGAGAGGAGCCACAGGTACTGAGTGAGCCTGGAGGCCAGCAGACACTTCCATGTGCTAATAGGCACCACAGTTAGCCCTTTATCCTGAGTTGCTTTGGAACCTGAGAACCTCCTGTGTGGGCAGAGCAAGGTTCGCCATAGCTTGGGTCCTTTGGTGTTCCTTTTCTTAGATGGGTGTTTAGATTGGGAAGATCCGTGTCCCAGGCGGCGACCTGCAAATGTGTGAGATGGTGAGGGGTATGGCAGGCAGGGTAATGGGCCGGTTTCAAACACTTGACCTCCAGAATGATGATAAACGATACATGTGATGAGATCACATGTGATGAGATGATAAATGATAGATGACACCTGGGTTGCTTAAAGCTCTCGCATTTGGGGTGGTAAGCACAGCAGCGACAGGGCCCCGGTGCAGGCAGGCGGAGCGCGTCCCTGAGATTCCTCGCTGGGCGCCTGACCGCAGTGAGCTGAACCGGTCTGTCCTCTGCCACGCTACTTCTCCTGGCTGGCTCTGGTGCAGGTTCTCTTGCGGCCCCGCGTGAATGGGCAGCAGTGTTGAAGGAAGAGTTAGGCCGAAGGCAGCGGAGCTCGCAGAGGTAGAGGCACTCGACACTCCGTACTCCGTAACTAGACAGGGGCTGCAGCCCGGTGGCAGGAGGTGCGGTGTGCCGCGGCGGGCGTAGGGGTGGGTGGGGTGGGGGTGGGGGCCCGGGTCTGGAAGCGCTTTCGGAAAACATGTGGTTTGAGTTTCCGGCTTTGAATTCTGGAGCGGTCTGTTTTTCTTTCCACCTTCTGAATATTTCTCATTAATCTTTCTCGATCAGAGAAAGTGTTATGATCTCTTTAGAGAGAAGGTTTCAGCGTTCTCAGACTCCAGCCCCGCCTGCAGAGGGAGTATCTGTCTGACGGAATGGGTTGGTACTGGTTTGTCACCCCAGGAGGGGAAATCTGCTAGCTCAAGAGAATGCTTTATTTTGTTATCTGGGGCTCTCAAAAGCTGGGAGGCGAACTGAGAGCGCATCTCCTCATCTGTGGCCTGGAACCTGGGTTTTAGCACGCTGTGCTGAGGTGTCTGGAGGAGCAGGTGATGTCGCGTGCCTTTGGCGGTCGCCTGCCTGATGTGGGGCCTCTGTATCTTCACATACATGCAGGGTCATCTTGGTACCCTGCCTGCTCCTGTTAGCTCCTCACCGACAGAATCTTTACCCAAGCTCTATGGGGCGTCCCACTATTGGTCGGGGTTAGGTTATTCCTGTAGGAAAATGGAGGCTTGGGCAACCCAGAGTCAAGCACAGTCACAGATGGTAGATCTCAAATCCCGGTGGAGCCAGGCTGTGGTTCCCACCACCTGCTCTACCAGCTGGAGCCCGCAGGTGAAGGGTGGCCTCAAACACTTCTCCCACTGTCCCTAGTGTCGCCCTCACAATCAGACCCAGAGGGTGTGCCAGGAGAACAGGCACCCCTGGTCCTGAACTGTGAGGAGGGCTGTATTGAATAAATGCTTTGATGACATGCTCTGAAATGTTTTGTAACTGAGCGTTCTCTTATGCAGTCTTCCTCTTCTCTCCCTGCCCATTCCCCCTCTCATGTCTTGTTCACCTCTTCCCCCCTCTCCTTCCCTACCCACCCTCACCCCCCTCCTAATTCCGTTTGCCCCATCCCCCTCATTCCCTATCTACCCCATCCTCTCTCATTCCCTATCTGCCCCATTCCCGCCCTCATTCCCTATCTACCCCATCCCCCCTCATTCCCTATCTGCCCCATCCCCCCTCATTCCCTATCTACCCCATCCCCTCTCATTCCCTATCTGCCCCATCCTCTCTCATTCCCTATCTCCCCCATTCCCTATCTGCCCCACCCCCTCATTTCCGGTTCCTCTCAAGACTCTTTTTCCCAGCTTGCTGCTCCTCAGCACCTGAACCTTCACCTGTACAATGACGAGCAGATTCTGAGTTGGGCGCCGTCACCCCCCACCAACGACACGAGACCAGTGGTTTACCAGGTGGAGTATAAATTGTAAGTTTATAATTTATGTTAACTTAAATATCTTTAAGTTATATTTCTATGTTCTATGGGTATCCTTGCTGGGAGTAGTGGAGTCAGCGGGGCTGTCGAGAGCCTGTGGATGGCCGGTATTTCTCTCGTGCATTTAAGAGCTCCGAGGACCGAGCTCTAACCTCCCACCCACCAGAGGTCCGTTCAAGTGTGTCTGGTGGTCCGGCTGAGAACACTGGCTGCTGTATACCCTCCCTTCCTGATGAAAGTTAACCCCTTTGCTCTCTTCACAGTGAGAGCTGACTTCCGCCTAGGAAAAGGAAGGGGCGGCTTTCAGGTTTAAAAACCTCAAAGTCCAAATTCAGCCTACGAAGGAATTTACTCTGCAGACTACAATGAATTCTCGGTTTCTCACCTGGTTTTTCTGTTTTGAATGATCGCCCTTTGTTCTGCCTCTCACCTCCTTTGCCTGTCTCTCCGTTGTTGGCACTTGCTGTGCACTGGGAGAGTGTGCTCAGTTAAATGGTTTGGTTTTGGTTTTGTCACATAAGCCGATTGAAGATCACGGCGAAGTCACTGCACACGTACCACATTAAACAAACTTGTCTGTTTGTATATTTTGAGACAAGCATTTGTTTTGCTCATGTAGCTCCGGAACTATAGATCCTCCTGCCTCAGCCTCCTGAGTAACTGAGATTCTAGTCCAATACCACTGTACTACTGAACTTTGTGGAAAATGTTTCCATAGAGCTTCATAGTCTAGAGTAGCTTGTTTGACTCTTAAGTCATGTGTGTCTGTGTGCATATGTGTGTGTGTGCGTGTAGTTTCATAGTCTAGAGTAGCTTGTTTGACTCTTAAGTCATGTGTGTCTGTGTGCATATTTGTGTGTGTGTGTGTGTAGTTTCATAGTCTAGAGTAGCTTGTTTGACTCTAAGTCATATGTGCGTGCTTGTGCATGTGCATTACCTGTGTGTGTATGTGTGTGTGTGTATGTGTCGGGGAGGGGGCATCTGGAGGCAGAGAGCATGTCCAAGTGCCTTCATTAGTTCTCATTCCCCATTTTTGTGTTTTTTGAGAGAGGGTTTCTTTGTAGCTTTGGAGTCTGTCCTGCAACTAGCTCTTGTAGACCAGGCTAGCTTCAAACTCACAGAGATCCGCCTGCCTCTGCCTCCCTTATTGTTTGAGTCTCTCATTGAACCTGAAGCTCTCCCATTCAGCTAGATGGGCTGACCAGGGATCTATCTGTGTCTGTGTCCGGCCCTCTTGCCCACTGCATTGACGGTTTTACAGGTTCACTTGGGTGCTCAGGTCTAAACCCACGTCTGTGAGCTGTCATTTAATGGTAACCATTTCCCCAGCCCCCATCCTTCCTTTCTTTCTGATAAACATTTTGTAGCCTTTCATCAGGGGTTGAGGTTGGTTTTATTAAAAAGAAAAGAAGCAGTAGATGACAAAATCTACAGGAAACACAGTGGGGGATTGTAAAGTTTAAATAGTAGGTCACAGATAGCAGCCACCAGGCTGTATGGCCCTAGTGTTTAATCCTTAAAAGCGAGTAAACATTAGTAGCCAACGTTATAGAATCTGGAGGGTTTTGCTGTATCAACAGCAAAAGCATGCTGTCCTCCGTTGGTCTTGGAGGCCTGGTCACAGCTTGCTGCCGGGCTCACGGAGACCTGCCCTGCCGCCGCCCGCTCAGAATGTTTGTTTCTCTGAGTGCTCTAGCAGTGCATGCTCTCTATAGGACACGCAGAAGCACAGCGAGCATCACAGCCTGCTGATCTCCGCGCGTAGGGAACGGGCACACCCACACCTAGCCTGTGGGGGGGCGGGGCAGAGAAAACAAGGATAGCAAAGCCTTAATCAGACCGGCTTCTCGGGAGGAAGCATCGGTAGGCACTTCCGGTTCCCATCATGCCACTTCAGGCCCTCAGTCCTGAAAGCTGAGAGAGGGTCAGCAAGGGAGGAGTGTCCTGAGTGTGAAACACGGAAGAGGGTGGTGTTAAAGGCTGGAGGAGCGCTAACTCGGGATGCCCTAAGTGGTAGAAGTAGTTCTGACAAACATTTGCTTGTTGAGCACGGGGTACTTGTTCGAGTGCTTTTCTTACATCTCAGTCTTCCTCCTAAGTCCAGGAAGCAGATGCTATAGTTGAGCCTTCCCCTAAAAAAAGAAAGGAAGGAAGGAAGGAAGGAAGGAAGGAAGGAAGGAAGGAAGGAAGGAAGAAAATATATACACATGCATGCACACATATAAACACATTTCTTATTATTTAATTTTTTTGTGTGCACTGAGAAGGCACAGATGCCATAGCTGATGTGTGGAAGTCAGGACAGCTCGCCAGAGTTGGTTCTCCTCCTCCACCATGTGGATCCTGGGGAGTGGACTCAAGCTAACAGACTTGGCAGCAAGCCCCTTCCCCCACCAAGCTGTTTCTGGCCTGATTCTTCTCTTTGAGATAAGGAGACTGAGGAACTGTGTTAAGAAACTAGAATTTAGGTGGGCGGTGGCGGTGCACACCTTTAATCCAGCATTTGGGTGGTTGAGGCAGGTGGATCTCTGTGAGTTCCAGGACAGCCAGCGCCATACAGAGAAACCCTGTCTTGAAGAAAAAAAACAAAAAAGATAGAAAATAGATACTAGAATTTGATACAGGATATCTGTATCCAGGTGCTAAGCATTAAACTGCAATGTAATACACATTTTCATAAATACCGTTGCTTTTTTTTTAAAAAAAACAAAAAGATTTTCTAGGGGCTGGCAAAATGGCTCAGCTGGGGGCTGGAGAGATGGCTCAGAGGTTAGGAGCATTGCCTGCTCTTCCAAAGGTCCTGAGTTCAATTCCCAGCAACCACATGGTGGCTCACAACCATCTGTAATGGAGTCTGGTGCCCTCTTCTGGCCTGCAGGCATGCACACAGACAGAATATTGTATACATAATAAATAAATAAATATTTAAAAAAAAATGACTCAGCTGGTAAACACTTGCTGCCAGGTCTGATCCCCCAGGACCCACTAAGGCTACTGCAAGGTGTCTTCTGACCTCCACACACTCTGCCACACATGTGTCCACACACATCAGACACCAGTAAATAAGTAAATGCATGTGAAATTTTAAAATAATAATTAAAAAACAAGTTTTCTAGCCAGGCACGGTGACATGTAACTGTAATGCTCACGCTTGGAGGCAGATGAATTGCACGCTTCAAGTCAGCCTGGGTTTCACAGCAACACTGTGTCTCAAACAAAGTAAATCAATTAAACAAAGGGCAAATGCAAAAGCATGTCTTCTGGGCTGTTAATGCTGGTAGAGCGTATGTCTCACTTACATAAGGCCCAGGGGTTGAGGCTGCCCCAGTTTTATTTCTGTTGGTGTGATAAAAATACCCTGACTAAAGGACCTTCGTGAAATAGGTTTGTTGTAGTTCAGCGGTACTGTCTGTCACAGCGGCGGAGGGGAGCGCCCCGTGCACATCACATCCACAGTCAGGAGCAGAGGGTGGATGCTCGCTGCCGGTGCTCACCTCACATCTCCATCTTACACGTCCAGGACCAAACTCAGAGCGGTGCTGCCCGCAGTGTGCTGGACGATCCTCCCAGTCACGTGCACACGCCAGCCTGATACAGACAATGCCCTTGTTGAGACTTCCCTGGAAAGTCTAGACTGTACCAGGTTGTCGGTTAAAATTAACCATCACAGATGCCCAGCACGCTCACACACAAAATGCTAGGTAATTTCTGTAACAGAAGGCCAAAATGAGTCAGCGCCCAGAGGCTGGAATGAGTCATCTGGCTACTAAAGCTCAGACCGGTTTGATGGGGTCTGGCGAGGACCTACGGCCTGTTAGGTTCATTAGTCACTGAAATGAAACAAAATCGTCTCATTGTTACCTTCCCCACGGAAAGGGGTTCCTTCCCTCAGAGCTCCTATTCCCCCATAAGGCTCTCTTCCAGGAAACATTTTTAAAAAGTTGTTCTGAGATGGGAACAAGGTTAGCAGACCGTGGG